TGATGGTTGCAATTTTTCTACAATACATATAAATGTGACAGCGTATGTGATGTTCTATTGAATTCAGAATAGACTGGAAGTTGTACCATTGTTTTGTGGACCACTATTCACATGTATTATTTTAACTGGTCCGACAAATCATCTTAAATAACCAAACGCACTTTTGATACTTCTCACATAGGTTTTATTTGAGTACCACACACAGAAAAATAGGAAGAGAAAGATTGTCTTTAGAGATGATTTTTAAAAGTTTTTACCCCAAAGCTAAAGTCAGTGTAATGCTTTGGTGAAACACTAGAAAACTCCCCATTTACACACAAAGATGCCAGTTGTCGCTGCAATTATTTAACACTGTGAAGGTTTGAGACATTTCATAAAACAAACCAACACACACACACAAAAATTATTATTTTAAATAATTAAAAGGAAGAAGTGAAATAATCACTACATGCAAAAGATATCATTTTTGATCTGCAAAAGACACGAGAATAAGCGTTAAAAGAGCACATGTGACCGTTTAGTAAGGCAACTGGCTTCTAACACAATAAACAGGTAAATAAAAACAATGACCTTTTTATAGACATATTGAGCAAGTACTAAATATCACAGATAAAATTAAGCACATTAAATATAAGCACCAAGTGGTTAAGTCATGTAATGTGTCAGGACCTCAGTTTCTTCACATGAAAAACAGTATTATGCACATGGGAAATATTAACAAGTTATGAGGTATACAGATTAACTGAAACATGAATATTATAGCTTCTTCTTTTTAGTGGGTACCTGTTACATACACTCATTGTTTATTTTATTTTGTAGCTTATGTCTTTTATTAAAACGTCTCCAAAATGCATATAGAAAACACATCCAACACATACTTGTTCAACCGATAAGTGAATGACTGAATGATCCCACGCTAGGGGAACAAGACAATCTATTTCAAACACAAAGCCTGTACTTTGAAGAGATTTCGTTGTGAATGTAAGCCATGAGTCAAGAATTTTTCATTTCTGTAAGTCAGAGAAAGACAAATACCATTACCATATGATTTCACTCATGTGGAATTTAAGAAACAAAACAAACAGGCAAAGGGAAAAAGAGAGAAGGAGGCAAAGAAATAGACTCTTAGTTGTAGACAGCAAACTGATGGTTACCAGAGGGGAGGTGCGGGGGGATAGGTTGAATAGGTGATGGGGTTTAAGGAGGGCACTTGTGATGTGCACTGGGTGTTGTATGCAAGTATTGAACCACTAAGTTGTGCACCTGAAACTAATATTACACTACATGTTAACTATTGGAATTTAAAGAAAAACTTAAAAAAAGAATACATTTCTAAAAATATACAGTTTCTATCAAATTCAAGATTTAACAATATTCCACACAGAATGCATGACCATGATTCCTTCTCTTTACTCCACCCATTGAACTTAATTTATTCTAAAATTTTCACCTGTTTTATTTAGCTGTCATTGCTATCATCCAACCAATATTAACAACATAGACACATATTCAACGTTCATGCTGATTATGGGTTCGTTACTCAGAAAAGTTGCTCTGAATTTCTGTACTGTAACCTGGTTGCTTTCCAGTCACCAGCTAAATAGCCATTGATAAAATAGATCAAAAACACCAACCTCCCAGAAAGTTACATACAGTTAAAAGATTATCATCACCCCCAAGATTTGGCAGTCTTATACATTAAAATTAAAGTGAATTGTGTTACATACTTAAAAATTATGCTGGCAAATACATTTTTTTTCCAAATATAAATTATATATTCTTTTTTTAAAGTTTATTTATTTATTTTGAGAGAGAGACAGAGAGACAGAGAGAAGGAGGGAGAGAGACTGATGATCCCAAGCAGGATCCTCACTGTCAGCGCAGAACCCAACGTGGGGCTCGAACTCACGAACCATTGGATCATGACCTAGCTGAAACCAAGAGTCAGACGCTTAACTGACTGAGCCACCCAGGCACCCTTAAATTATATATTTTTTTAATGATGGTAAATGTAATCAAGAACTCTTGATTGTGAAATTAATAGTATGGAAAGGATCATTTGAATTAAGCAGCTTCATGATTCTGAAAATCTTCTAAAAAAATTTTTAATTTATCTGTTGGCAAAAAAAAAAAAAATGGCAAGAGCACAGCATCACACGAGGCAGGGGGCCCGTCTCACCAGATGCCCTGTGCCACTGCACAGGTCACATATTCAAAGAGCCACCATGACTAAAGGGCATGAATACATGTGAGTGACACAGGGGTGGACTATATTGGACACAAATTTGTGTGCTTCCTCAGAGTCCCTTCACTGTCTCCTATTCTTTTATTCAGCACGAAGTGTAAGCCAGATTATGCTTCCATTTTGGACTTGACAGCAACCCTACCCCGTGGGGGGTGAGATTCCACTTTCCAAATGACCACTAAGGGGCTAGATGAGCAGAGGTATTAGTCCCACTTCGCTAAACCCTGGCCAATGGGAACTAGAAGACAGATAGGAGGTAATTAGATACATCCCTCCTCCTCTCCCTCTTCCATGTTCTAATGCTACATGTGGTTTGTCATTGGAACCCTCCTGGAAAAGCTGTGTGCTGTGTGCACACACAGGATGACTACTATATTGTCTCTCAACATATCGTGAGTTGGTAGCCAGCAGAGTAACACAGCACAGCACCTCCTTCCACATCTTCTCTTGCCTCCTTTCTATATGTTCTCCCCATTTCTGCCCAAGACTTAACCTACCTGCATAAATGTCATTATTTTTGTTAAGTGTATTTATCTATTTTTGAGAGAGAGAGAGAGAGACGGAAAGAAAGGGAGGAGAGGGGCAGAGAGGGAGAGAGAGAATCCCAAGCAGGCTCTGTGCTGTCAGCACAGAGCCCCGGGCAGGGCTCAAACTCAGGTACCGTGAGATCATAACCTGAGCTGAAATCAAGAGTTGGTGCTTAACCACCCACCCCACCCCCCGAGCCATCCAGGTGCCCCTAAATGTCATCATTTTGAGCTCTGACTTTCATTCAGGTTTTAGAGGCCCCAGGATAAGATAGTCAGTGAGTTATACCATTATTATTTATTTACTTTATGTGAGTTTATAACAATAAAACTTGTATCTGGAAAGGATGCAGAAAATATTATATCAAAAATAACATTGTAGTAAGGCAGCTGAGTTAGTAAAGCAGTATGAACTCAGTTTTTTAATAAATCAAATATAATTTTTGTGTCTACAATACCCAGCTAGAAAAAAAAGTCACACGTAAAAAGATAACATTTACAATAAATAGAAAAAAAATATACATACAAATTAATAAAATCTTTTATATGCTTTTTAAATACTTTTGTTATACATGCCTTCTACCTTTGGTGTTACACCCGTTTCCACTTCACACATGTGAAAGGGCTGTGCCAAGGCTATATTCTAGTGATATTTGCCCTAGAATTAGGAAACAGCCAGACATTTGCTCTGAGAACTGCTTCTTGGATAAGCCTGTCACCTCATCGTGAAACCAGAGCTGAGAAATTCATGGAATTTGCAGGTTTTGGGATACATTTTCTTTTCATTGGTTTCCCAGCTTTCAAAAAGTTCATTCACTCATTCATGCATTGACTTACTCATTAAAAGATTTTTTATTAACTCTTCTATGGCCAGCTTGCAGGTTTTGGGAGGCAGCAGTAAATATGATCCTCACTTCTTTGAAGTGTACTGGGAGAGATAGATGATAAACAAACAAATACAGCAGGTGTGGAGATGAATTGCCTTCAGATTTACAAAATTATTAAATTGCCTAAAACCAAAATTAACGGTAGCGTAAAATTCGGTTGTTGAACAAGATTATGCATTTCTTTCCTATAATAGAATTTGCTATCAATGAATATGCCAACACACATTATTCTATTTCATTCTTATCAAAAGATTATAATAAAATATATCTTTGAGAAATCCCCGATGATTATTGTGTAGACGTAATAGATGCCACTCAATGTATGCAAAAAGGTTTATTGAGTTATATACCATAATTCCTTCACTATTCTAATAGTGAGCATTTTTTTTTTTAGATGCAAAAGATTTGAGTCTTACCTTATATTTTGAAAGAATTTTAAAAGTGGAAGATGTTTCGGATGTTTGGCGATTCGAGGCCCAGAGGTGGTTTAAGAGACAACTGACATATTTGAAATCAGGTCTCAATTTCAAAAATGGTCTATCTAAACTCAAAAACCAGAAGAAATGACGTTCCTAACTGCATGTGGAAACTTACAACATTCTAAAGAGTTCATGATCATGTTTCTTTCATCTTTTTCCCTGTTGTGGAACTCAGTGTTTGCTAAGCTTTCTGCCCACTTCTTTAAATCAAATATTCATCAGTAGAGTTTATTGTACACATATATAAAATTTACATGCAATATGTTGGTCATTTATGAATTGCATTGTGCACACCTTTATTCATCACAGCCCTAATCGCTTTCTAGTAACCGTGAAGTAGGAATTTATGATGGAATAATTACCTACCCCAAACATTCATCCTCAGTATGTGATTTAGAATTGAATACCATTACCATGCAAAGACTAGAGATTCAAACAATGAAATCTAAGCACACTGTAATACCATTTACAATGGAAAATAACAATGATGTCCTGAGATTGCCTGTCAGTTCTGAAAAATGCATAAATATAGATCACAAATTTTTTAATTGGAAGATGATACATAGCATATGTAAAATACACACAGCTTCATAATTCTCAGGAAATTCTTTCCATATTATGTATAATTAGATTGTTTAACCTGATTAAGAAAACCGGTGAGGGTAGATTATTTTCAGTCTTCCTTATATTTTTCATACATACATGTATATAGTTTTATGGGCTAGGCTTAGGTAAGACTTCTGTAAGTGAAACTGAAAATTATTCAGTTACACACACTAGGGAAAAACCCGCAGGAGGTATATAATGTTACCGTCTACATTAGTTAACTTTCTGCCAAGAAAGACACAACGCTCTTATTTATCTATGGACTTGAGTGTTTCTGTTCTTTCAGCCAGTACTTTTCCTGGTATAAAACAGACAGAAAGGCCTGTTTTAGCTTCTTGTTTCCCCAAATCAACATCAGCGAGTGGATCGAAGGATACACGAAGGCAAGTACCTGGCAAAACATGAACAGTTCCTTCTGCAGCCCGTTAAAACTCCAAACTGTAACAATTAGATTCAGAACGTAACCGGCAAAGAACAAGAGAAAGGAGACCACCGTCTGCATGGCTCTTATGTGGACCTTGGTGCTGGGATCTTGGGATCCCTTGCCACAGAGCTGCATCCGCTTGAGATGTCTCCAGAGGGAAAAGATCAACAGCACAAAAGACGTCAGGGACGTAGCAAAGGGTATGAAGTTTGCTAGTGTGAATACAGTCATATTTGAGAGGTGTGCCATGTCCGTCCATTTGGTCCTCCAAGTGACATTCCCTTCATATTCCTTAGTCTGCACTTTCTCATATATGCTCACTGCTGCAACATGAGAAAACAATAAAAACAAAGACCCCAGCAGCATCACAAGCACGA